GAATTTCATTTCCTAAAATGCCAAATTTTAATTTTGCAAAATGCTGAGTCATAATTTTACGCTTTACAACAACAAACATAATTTAGTTTAGTTAAGTTCAAATTTTACGTTTTATAAATGACAAGCATAATTTCAATTTAGATTTCAATCAGAACTGTCAATCGTAGTACAGGTGTTGTCCATGAATGGTAATTTCTAACTTTTCTTAACTTCACAACAACTCTGTTGTTTTCCCCTTCCCACTTTTTCTTGACTTGTTAATTAGACTTTGTAAATGTTGCCAAGTTTTAATTTTAAGTTTTGTAGTAAGAGTTAAAGAGAGTGGTTCATGCTGGAACTTTAAAGATTTTAAAAATTTTGAAAAATTGATGACTTGAAAACTAAGAACTTTTAACTATTCAGTAAGCATAATAAACGACTTGGAAATTCTATTAGTTCAAAATTTTGCTTACCTCTTTGTAGTAATACTTCGACAATGGCAGTTATTTGAAGTTTATCTTCGAACTTTCCGCATCTATTAGCGATGCGGCATGATGAACGATGAAATTGGAATAATATTAGGAATATTTGAGTAATAATATTAGTAAACGTGAAACAAGTAAAAGAAGGAGTAATTCTGAGGACTTCATCAGGACCACTCTAAGGAACTCATTGGGATCATTTTGAGGAACTTATCAGAATCATTCTGAAGAAGTCATTGAGATTCACAAGCAAAACTTTAAACAATTTCATTTGTTGGATAACTATCATTAATGAAAGCTAACTAAAACTATTTAATGCATTGATTTAATTGTTCTAATTGCTTCCTAAGTTTCAGATAACTTTTCCCCGAAAAAAGTTGCAATTTGAAACGTGAAAGTTTTGAGCATTTCGTAATTCTATGTAAACAATAATCATCATGTTTCTAGCTATGAGAACAATATGAACTGTTCTGGAAACCTGACCTTTTCTTCAAATTTCAAGACAAGTTTCATGCAATTCTTCTATTTTATCAATAATTTTACGGTAGTAAAAATTAAATTTAGTGCTAAATGAACCATTTCAACGTATGATTCATCAAATGAGTTATAAGAGAAGCTGCAATCATTGGACTTTGTTGTCAAATGTGTCAAACGTGAAAAATCAGAAGGTTCCAAAGGAACAACGAAAGATTGATTGGTAGTTGAGAAAGTAAATGAGAAGATTTTATGATTCAAACGATAAGAATGAAAATGAAAGCGATAAATTATTATGAATGAAATAAATGCTCACTTATTGTTCCATGAAAGCTATTTACATTAATTTTCATGAAATACTGGATGACTTCTTTCATGTTGAAATTGTAAAGAAGTTCCGGAATTTGGAAATACATAGTTGCAATTACTGAGAGAGAGAGAGAGAGAGAGAGAGAGAGAGAGAGGAGGAG